TATATAATCTCACAGGATAAGAGCACAATGATATACAGAGTGTAAAGAAAATGAGACTCGTGACAGAGGAGATGGATAAACCAGTTCTTTATTAGCGCTTTAACAGGGATGTACAGTTAACAGCTGGGGAAAAGGACAGAGCTGCGTTACTTGAAGTCAATACAATTATGTTCCACTTCCACTCTCATGCATATTCAGGAATTAGCAGGTGGACAAGATGAGAAAATTCGCATGGACTTTTCTTGAGGCTCGCCAGCTTCTTGTCGGAGTGTTTAACAGAGTGAGGAGTTGTTAGGAGCTATAGATTATAGTTTAAGGGCACACAGCTGGAGTTAAGTGGAGGAGGTATTAGTAAGAGGAAAGGACGGACTCAACAAAGTTCAATTTGTTGTGCTACTAGCAGCAGTAACAGTAAGTGTGGTTGTGTAAACAGTGAATGGCAATAAGGCAGCTGGTAACACTACAGACAGGAAGTGATGAAACACGTCATGGCACAAATTTATACTGATGTGGGTCTGGCAGGGACACAACATGCAGGGCACGCATACAGATGACAGATGTCTGGGGAGCGCACTATTTAATCCCACACAAACACAAACAAAACCGAGTATCAGCACTTCAGGATGTGGTTGGACGGACCTCATCACTGACCCACGTTTTAAACTCTGTGCCATGCAAATACAACACAATGGACCTTTATCCTAATACAACACCGGACATTACAAAGCTGAAGTCACAGGGAGCTGGTGAGTGTCAGAGGCACAGATAGGAACGTTTAGTTTACCCATGTACTCTGGAGAGGTGAACACTGTGATTTAAGCTAGATTGTCATAACTGGCTGCAAAGGAGAGCAGGGACTGCGAGAAGGAAATGAGCCAGTTGCTGCATATCTGCTTCAACGCGGTTTAGATGGAGAGATTTATTGCAGGAGAGGAGTTGTGGTAAAAATCCAGGAACAACTTTTTAAACTTACTGATTCCCCTTCAGCTGTATGCTCATTTTTATTTTCAGTTTCTGTTGTTGCTGAAAGTTTCCACAGGTTAGGAAGACTCAGGACTGTGAATCCATCTCCATCAGATGCACAAGAACACTTGAAAGAACAGTCTGACATTTTGGGAAGTACGCTACTTCCTGAGAGCTAGATGAGAAGATTGTACCACTCGGTGGGCCTCATTCAGTAATACATGCATAGAAATGTTATCACTGTGCGCACGCAAAATTGTCATCAGATTCATGACACATGCACCAGCTAATTTTGTTCTTCCTTCGTCATACATTAATGAATCAGAATAATTCAGTACTGAACAAGAAACACTTTTGTTTTTGCTCCCAGTTTCAAGTTAAAGACTTTTTCATGCAGTCAATAGATTGATTAAAGTCCACTGAGGCCCAGTGTCTGTACGGGGAAGCTAACGCCTTGCACAAAGACTAGTAACAGTAAACAGCATCCAAACATAACATAATCTGCCTACCAGCACCACTAAAGCTTACTACTATCTTGTTTGTTTAACCCATACAACAAAAAATGTATAAAAGAAAGAAAATTTGTAGTTTTATGGACGGTTACGCCAAAGTGTTTCTAGGCGGTTGCAGGCAGTAGACTTTTTCTCTTAAGGTTTTAGGAAGTGATGTAGGCAGTGCTGAGGTCACACATGGGGCTAGCAGTTTCCTATATCTGCTAATCTAAGTTAGCGAGCTTCATATTTACCAAACAGATGTGTGGTGTCAATCTTCTCATCTAACTCCTGGTAAGAAACATATTTCCCAACATGTCAAACTTTTCCTTTGAGGGAAAAAATTTATAAGAGTGCGTGGGAAGTGTGTTAAACTTCTACTCCCTGTCATTCACACACACACTGACAGGAAGCAGAGAGTGAGGCTTAACATTGCACAGAGGCATTTCATCCAGTCGCCTGCTAATCAAGCCCCTGTGATAGGCTGAGCAGTGCTTAAAATCCCCGCCCACACAGAGCTTCAACTGGTGCACTCTCTGTCCGTCACGCTCCCTTGACTGCCTGCTACTTCAAAAACGAGTCAAGCTTTCGCTTGATGTTGGCGAAGGAGTCGTCACCCAAGTAGTCAATCTGGCCCGCTTCCCAGCGCTGCTTCCTCTCCTCTGATGAAACCTTCTGAGGCGGAGGAGCGAAGGGCGGTGGGTGCTGTCTCACATCCTGGTGAAGCTTACTCTGCATGACAGACAGAGAGTGAATGAATCATTAAATGGGTCTGGAGCAATACTTTATAAGGACTGGTTTCCCTGCTTTCAGCCATGCTCGGCTGAGGGCTCCTTTCTTCCCACAATCAGGACACACACAGGCATTTCACCAGAGGAGTCAAAGTACAAATGAGACCTTTTGCAACACACTTGCAGCAGATAAGAGCTAAGTTTCTCAGATGATGAAAGTCGTCTCTCCTGACATGAAGAAGGAAAGGAGCATCCTCCTGCAGTAGATGCACACTCAATAAGTAAATACCTGTCATAGAAACACAGTGACTGTAGTGAGTAGGAAGCACGACAACAGTTGTTCATCTGCTGGGAACAAGACGTCTCCTGACTTCACTGAGGACCCAGTTCTCAGTGTCTGAACACTGGAGGTTTCAAGTTTCCACATCACACTTATGTAAGCTGCATATTAGACCACTGTGATGTCACAAAATCGCACTGTCTGCACGTCATTCTGCACAGTGAAGCTCTAACATCACAGTTAAGGAGCAAAAAGCAAAACTAGGGAGGGATTTTAAAGCTAGACTGAATTCTGAAAGACGAATTTATTAACCTTCTTCTTACAAATGAAAAACTGCATTAAGAAGCAATAAAACATGTTTTATGTCATTTACTTTAATACACTCAGGGTTTTTGCTGCTGCAGCCTACTCTGCTATGACAGGTAGCATCCATTTACTGTAACTACTTATCCTCTTAAAGGTCGCCAATTCCAGCTGACAGGCGAGAGGTGGGGCACACGGTGGACAAGTCCCCAGACTATCACAGGGCTGACACATAGAGACAGACAACCATTCACATTCACACCTATGGGCAATTTAGAGTCACTAGTTACCCTAACATGCATGTCTTTGGACTGGAGAGCCAGTAGAAAACCCACACTACCACAGGGAGAGCACTCACTACCAGTCAGGTTGCTTAAATGTGACACCTCTCTTGGCCACTGTTACAAAAGTGGCATAGTGTCCCGTTAAACTGTTTTAAAAAGTCCTTCATCTCCAGCCTAAATTAAAAAAAAAAAAAACCTTCAGTCTGAGCCAGCTCAAGACGGGCTTGTATAAACTTGTCGGTGTGACACAAAATGGCACAGCTTCAGGCCATTGGGCAAAGCTTCAGGTTTTGGCAGCGTTCCTTTTTTGACTAACGCAGAGCTATTACACTGCTACCCTGTTACAACAGGCAGCCTGGCAACTTCCTGCTACCCTGTAAAGTGCTGAACAGTTGTTGGAGCCCCGGCACCCTCCACGATTCATTGACAACAGGAAGCTATTCATGCAGTCATGACAGTACTGAGAGGACTGGAAATACCGGCAGCTACAAACAACACTTTTGGCAACAGAATGGTGCCGAGGAATGTGGAACAAATTGACTTTTTCTTGTTAGTGTCCCAACTAAAACCGGTCAGCATTTTGGAGGTTACGGGGAAGTCAGAAAAAGCTTCACTATGTGGCAATTACACCTTCACACGTTTTATATACCTGCCAGACAAAGGGACGTTTACCTGGTGTGTTTACAGGTTTCAAAAAAGTCAGATGTCGGGACATGATAAATATGTGACAGACTGAACACGTAACCACACACATTAACAGCCTTCTTTGTTTATGTTCCAGTACGTGCCTTCCCACCACAACCACACCCAGGATGGGAAACTCTTATTTCACACGCACTCATCCATCACAAAGCCCTGACGTACCTCCTCGTTCACATCCACGAAGCTGCTGCTGAAGGGTGTGTCCCCGTAGGCCTGGTGCAGTAAAGGCAGCACAGATTTGGCGTACACCTGCCACCACATGAGCAGGTAGTCTGGGTGCAGGTCGCACTGGTCGGGGGACAGGGAGTGACCTTTGACCTCGCCCCTCTGAGCGTCGTAGGAGTAGTTCCATGGCTTCACCTTGCCCAGGAAGTGCACCACCTTGGCGTTGTGACCGTATCTGTGAAAAGACAACAGCGGGAAAAGTGAATGTTAGGCAGCAGTAGAGTGTGATGATGTTTTTAATGCTTAGTTCGCATCACCATGGTTCCCTCAACAAAAACCTATGTGATTATACATTAGATTCTGGATTACTGCAGAAAATAAGCTCTGTGGCAAACAGAAGTTTATGATACTTAAACGTTTTGTTCAGCGAGATAATCTTCACAAATGACCACTTTTAGGATTTTTGATGTGTGAAAGCAGAAGTAGGAAGCTAATGTTAGGCTACAAACAAACTACACCAAGGCTGCATGACTCTGTCACCCCCACAGTGAGGCTGTAAAGCTGCTTTTGATGACTTAACCACTCGACGTATGTTCGCACCGTCCATTTAAATCCACCAAAAGTGCTTGATCTTGCTACTAATAGGCTTCACAATTATGGAGATGATCCCTGCAGAGAAGGACCTTTTTGTTAAAGAGAAAGCTCATCTTGTTTAACCAGAAACAGCCCCGAAATCTCCATTGCCAAACCCACCAAACTCCATTTAAATAAACAGTCATTTTAGCGTGTATAGAGCCAGCGTATTTTCACATCAAACTGGGTGTATGATGGATTTATTTCAACCACACCAAATTTGGAGATTGTTGGAACAGTGGAAAGATGAACCGAGATGGCTTTTCTCAGTGTCATTTTCTTTCTGCTGACTTTGAATGAAGTATATTTTACGATGATTAAATTACTGTTTATTTAAATGGAGTCTGGTGACGTTGGTGTTGATTTGGGGGCTGTTTCTGCTCAAACCATAATTATCTTTCTCTTTAACAAAAAGGTCTGTCTCTGTTGGGATTCTTTCCATAAATGTCATCAGACACTTGTATAACAATCTGAGCCTCTCAGCAGCAAAAACAAGCACTTTCGGTGGAAGAAAATTGATGGTGCAAACATATCCCAAGTGTTTACACAGAGGCCTCTTTTTCTGTGCTACTGGCTGCAGTCCTGTTGTTCAGTATTGGACCAAAAACTGTTGTTCCCATGACTCACATAAACAGAAAAACATAGGAAAATAGGGGCGAGAACTTAGCCTTTCACCAAACTCTTCGACATGAAGACACACGCAGACAAAAACTTATACAAGACAGAAAGTAAGCTACAGTAGCTCCTCTGTTTCGAGGCAGCATGTGCGTTGTCATTGCTCTGAGTTTCAGCAGCCTCTTGTAATTCAACACCTGCCGACATACAAACGAGTACACAACCTTTGAACTGACCTTGGATAAGCTTTATGCCTCCTAACACACAAGCACCATGAAGGTTAACAAGGTTAGCCATACAATCAGGGGAATAAGTCAGCTATACATGAACATATGAAGAAACCCTGGATGCAGTAAATTCGTGTACGTGTGTGTTTGTGTGTGTACTGACTGTTTGAAAGCTGGCAGGTAAGAGTAGATGGCGATACTGCTGAGGTTGTAGATGAAGGGAAGGTGTTTGGAAATATCTGCCGTCGCCCAGGTGTTAAAGTAGCTGTTGAGAACCCCCTGATCTCCACCTGCAGACATGCACACACACAAATATGCTCAGAGTGATAGTTACAGGCATAATTTTAGGTGAGAGCTGGCTTGGAGCTTTGGTTTGGTATGTTAGAACAAATAGTAATAGTCATGTCAGAGTGATTCTGCGTTTTTGCTATGAGTAACATTTCATTAACATTTACCTTATGTGACCTGTCTTCTCTAGCTGCTGAAACCCATTCATACGCTGTAGTAGTACATATCTGAATGGTTAACACCACACACACACACACATACTGTACACTTCCACTGAGTGTGTCCTGTCTGACATGTATAAATAGAAACTGAAAAGGAATGTTAACAGTGTGTAAGAGGAGGCTGCACACATTGAACGACAACATATGGTGAAGCAATTTCGCACAGACGGCATACGTATGTGACACGGTGTTAAGTGCATACAAACAGCTGGGGTGAGGTGGCGGAGTGAGGACGAGGTTAGATCAGGTCAGAGTTAAGATTAGGACATACAGTAGATACTTGGAGTGTGTGTGTCGAGAAAGAGAGGGGTTTGCAGGAACCTCTGCAGATTAATTGGTTTATTTAGCTGCTAACTTTTCTCATCAAAAATGGCTGAGGTCATACCTACAGTCGACTTGGTTCATGTTCACACAGTCCAGTAACAACCAAGGATTATAAACTAAAAGGGAATGTCGTCATTCACTCTGAAACTTGATATTACTTAAATATCATTTACTCATGTTACTATTTAAAACACTTACGCATAAACAGTCTCGTGCATGGAAAAGTAGAGCGCCTGGTCAAGTGTGTGACAGATACAGCCTTCTTCCCTGTTCCAAAACCAAAATCAAACCCTGAGAAGTGTAGGGTTAGCTAGCTAGCTACTGAAGATATAGCCTACTGAATGTATACACATGCTGCCTTTTCTTTTTAATGATTATAACAGTGAAACAAAGACCGACCCTGCTGTACAGGAACCAGTGAAGGGAAGCAGGGAAACTTTGCTGATATTCAACCAGCTCTGTGTCATCGCATTGTGTGCAGATGAACATTGGTTGACTCCCCTGGAGATCCATGCCCGTCCAGCGGTGGAGGTCCAGGTGCTGGCAGCGGCACGGAGGTGAAGCCAAACACTGTTCATCTGCACACACTGCGATGCCACACAGCTGGTTGAATATCAGCAAAGTTTCCCTTTATATTCATTGTCTTGTGTGGTGATCAGCAGTGATGTGGTGGTTCACTTTTACACTGTGATCTGTAGCCTATAGTTCGGCTTTAGCTTCTAACTATCTTTGTCTTTTTAACCTGTTGTTGCTGCTGAGTCAGTTTGACATCCTGGATATATCCTTCAAACACAGACTGTAGACCCCTCTGTCTGCTTCTCTCTGGAATCTCTGTTTCATTTTTCCAAAAATATGATCATATTCCCTCAGGGAGTGCATTTCCTCATGTCTCTTCAGATTACATTCTCACTTTCAGCCAGCCATTAAAGGAGCTATATGTAAGAAATATAAAGCAAATAGTCATAAAATCCTCCTAATATGTCACAGAGACTAAGGAATAATGTCCATATAACATACTGATCTCACTGACAACAATAGTATGGCCAGAATATTCGCATTTAAAAAAAATTTTTACGGTCCTCAAATCATGTATGTTTTGAATTTGTGTTTTGGCCTGTTGCGCCACCCACCGCCGTCTACCAGTCACACAGTCAGTAGAGTCTCAGCATCAGTTACAGTTACGACTGAGCTACAGCAGCACGGCAAGCAGCATTAGCAGTGTCCCATTACATAGCATTAGCAGCCGGCTCCTCATGAGCTGTATCCCTGCAGCAGTGTTAGCAACAGAGAAGCCGGACTTGCTCAAACGGTCCGCTTGAAAACCGAAGATCAAGGACGCGGCGACACAGCCCTGCCACGGCAGCCACCCGTGGGCAAACAAATCAGTCTCCAGCGTACCACTGTCCAGCAACCTCGAATCTGTAGGGGAGGGGGGTGGGGGCGGGCGGACACAACTCGTGGCAGTATTTTGAATTTGACTGCAGTAACCGTTTTGGCCACGTTCTTACATACAGTGCCTGTAAGGGACAGAAAAAGAAATGGATAAATACACTCTCGTCTCACCGTCAAAGCTGCCGTTTTCACTGCAGAATGTGAGCAGCTTCTCGTGCGTCTCATTGGACGGTCTGAAGACAAAAACCCCGGAGTTGAAACAGTCTGGCCAACCAGGATCTGGCGCTGCAGATAGTTCCTCTCTCTCAAAGAGTTCATCTACATTTGACAGCACCTGAATACATTAAAAAAAAATAGACAGAACAGTAGATAGATATAACATGAAAAGAAATGAAAAAATGAATGAAACATACTGTTACATGTTGTGATCACAGAACAATAAGTTGTAAGAGCAAGCAACATAAGTTGTATGTTTTCTGCTGCTGTCAGGTTTCTGTCTTACCAATGTGTCTGCGTCCAAGAACACACACTTGCTGTATTGTGTCAGAGTCCAGCAGTGCAGTTTGGTGAATGTTACCCCCAGGTCCGGACGCTTCATCAGGGCAAGATGTGCCGCATCACCGGAGTCCATAACGTCCACCACACACACTTCATCAAAAATGGAGCTTAGTACGTCTCTACGACACAGACAGTATAATTTGTGTCAGTGTGTGTGTGTGTGTTGGATATTGACATTTGACAAATTTTACCCCAAAATCAGTGATGTGCGTTACCTGCACTGATCTGCAACATGAGGTCCTATGAGTGCAACCAGTTTCCTGGTTGTGTTGTGGCTTCGTAGCGACTGGCCGAGCACCATCGCTCCCTTGGCGTAGCTGTCATTTGTGGCCAGCGTCACAAAAGCTTCGTCTGCTTGGAGAAAAACACACACATACACACACTTATCAGCCATATGATTCTCCTTTGTCAGTCCTACTTCTATTTATCTGCCTGCATAAGTCTTTTATTAGTTTAAAAAATGGTGTATTGTACATCAGATTTATCAGAATAACCAGGGCTGTTTGAAAATGATGAATTCATAGGTGTGAATAACTGCTTATAGCACTTAAGAGGGACTATTTCTGTGTGTAAAATTTAATTTTGTCAGGAAAATTTCTACAAGACAATGCATTTTGTAGTTGACAGTTCATTGCAGAACAGTAACCCAAGTTGTAATTGAAATGTGTGACATTTTTGGAACCGACACAGGGTTAGAAATGAACTCTTATGTCCACCTGCCACTGTGACCGGTGGATACCAAACTCTACCAGCCACTCAACAGATTACCATTGTGGGTTTTTTTGGCTGGTGAGTGAAGCAAATCTAGCATCCATTTGCATATTTTGCCAGCATTTGGCCCGTGGCTGGAGCTAATATCCAACCCCGAACTGGCAGCAACTGTGAGCTCACACATCAGCCTCTTCACTAATAAATAGCATAAGCAACAATTATTGTAAAAGTGTCACAACCAATAAATTACACAGTGAACTCTTTACACCTCCTCCTCCATTAAGGACAGTCAACCAGCCAAACTTTATGTTGCTCAGATAAGACAAACAAATCAACAACAGTTAAGTAAATGTACAATTTTCTCTGTTTTTATTAGCTCAAAAAATATGATCCATGCTACTCACGTGCGGCTGTTGTGGCTTGTTTTGAGCATTTGTATTTACACTTGCTATTAAAGTGAGTAAACTTCCTCTGACAGAGATGATAAAACATTTGTGTACTTTCCAACACAAATGCTGCTCAAACCATCGGTGCCTCTTAATTTGACGATACGCTATTATATTTTGCTGATCACAAACAGGAACCATCACATCCACTGTCCCATCCAGTTGACACTGTATACAAGTATATCTAGTTCCTCTGCAGGCCTCTTGTGTGAAGTTCAGTGTCTGATGAGTTGTTAGCATATCCATGGGGGCCATGCATACATTACCGACAGCAGGAGGCACACTGTGTTTACGCTTGAATGAAAGTAGGCCCAGAGCCAGCAGATAGTGTTCATTCAGCTGAATGTGTGTGTTGTCGAGGGCTTGGGGGGGTGGGGGGGGCGGGGGACCTCTGGGAATCCTGATCTGATCGGAGGGGCAGTGCTGTACAGTTGCTAGGGTCTGTTTCAAGGAACTATAAGCTGACTATCATGAGAGTGTAAGGCCCGTCTCGCCTGCGAGGCTGTACAGGAAGCATGTGTTGTGTTCCCACAGTGTTATCTGTGGCTGCATAAAGCCATGTGACCTGCACACCTCCGGGTGTGACATCATTTCAGAATCATGAGGACACAAAATTATGAGAAACACAATCTGGTAAATGACTTTTAAATGTTAGAAATGACGTTATCTGGTGTGAGTGCACCAGATTTAAAACACAATGGAGTGAATTCATGAACAAGCTGAGAAAATATGCATTTATATATATATATTGTAATGGCAAACTTATAGTTGTATGCAAAGTGAATGCATAGAGATCGTTTCCTATATGTAATTATATGTTAACATGATGCTTGCAAAACTGCAGTTCTCTCTCAGCCTATGTGCATATGGTGACTGTTATTAATCCTATATTACAGTATAGAGTATTCTTGAAATTATTTTTTACCTTTGGACCACATTATTGGGAATACACTTTAAAAAGTGCGACACTACAGGCCTTTTCTAGTATTAGGAAAAGAAAAAAACTTCAAGGCCACGCACTGCACGTCTGCACTGAGAAACAACTAGTCAAGTTAATCACACATTAACCCAGGAAGTTAATAGGGTTTTCTTTAAAAAATAAAAGCACACATGAGCTACGGAACAAAGTTTGATCAGGGAACAGTTCAAAAGCACTTTTATTACCAATTTATTTTACTTTCTCGATTTATCGTTTGGTCTAGAAAAATGTGGAGCCAAAATTCGTAAAGTTGCTTATTTTTCAGAAATCTGAAAAACTTTACTGATCCCGGGAAGAAACTGTGATTCATTATGGTCACTCTGATCGAGAATTATAAGCCGTAAAAATGTGAAGTATTACTTAAAATATCTGCATTTTACTTAAATGTATAAAACTAGTATGTAAAATTTTCATAAATCTAAAAATATTTGCAGTTTGTGACGATGTATAAAACGTGTATATACTGTTTTATAGATTTACAAATATGTTGTGCAACAATATCCAACTATAAAAAATCAGTCTCCCACACCTCTATACATACATACATTTATGTATGTATTTATGTGTGTGTGTGTGTATATATAAAATAAAGATAGAAAACAAAAATTAGACACAATAAGAATCCGTTGTAAAATATTCATGCAAGAGTAGAATAAGTAAGAATGAATTAGGTTAAATAAATGAATAAATTATGTCCAACGAACACTCTAAAACCAGCAAATATTCATATTTAAGAGTTAATTTTTGGCATTTTTCCTTAAAGGAATGACTTTACTACTTAAATCAATAGTAACAATGGTGTCTGATGAACTTTCTCACAACAGACCACTCAATTAATCAGCTAATTATTTAGAGAACAAAGAAGAACAAATATATTGGGCGGCATGGTGGTGTGGTGGTTAGCACTCTCGCCTCACAGCAAGAGGGTTGCCGGTTCGATCCCGGGCGTGGGAGCCCTTCTAGAAATATGCAACATGTGGATGCAGTATAAACTGAAATAAAATTCTTAAAACCAGCATTTACTTCACTGTTCCTCTACAATAACAGGCCTCGAGATGATGTAATAATGCAGGTGTCACCTTAAAAGATTTGTCAATTATGTATGCTTATTTGCATTCTTGACAAGACTAAGAGGAGAACATGAATTCCTCTCTCATGTCTGTGCTGTAGATGTGAAGCTACAGGCAGCAGTTGGTTTTCAGTTTTCGTGCAAAGCTAAGCTATCAGGCTACAATTACATGTACATGGAGAAATCATCAACGTTGGTCATGCAATGGACGTAATTTCCGTTTGCCTACTTTGTGACACCTTGATGTGCAATATCACAGTCTGCACTTCCACTTTGACTTCACTCTGCTTGGGCTGTGTAGTAATCACACCTCAACATTAGAGCAGCTACACTAACGTCAGCCACTATTATCGTATTAGATACACTGGAACCTGTCTCCGTGTTGGTTTTTAATTAAAAAGAAATTAAAGATTTGCTTAAGGTAATATACAAAAAGTGCACTGACAAATATGCAACAATCAATCCATTCATCTATTGATTTTCAACTATAACATGACTTGTCAACTAATTTGATGATCGATTTATCAGTTTAAGTATTTATTTATTTATTTTTTAAGAAAACAATGATTACAGCTTCTTAAATGTGAATATTTTCTGGATTCTTCACTCCACAAGTTTTGTGTTTTGGACAAACAAGACATCATCTGGGGTTTTGGGAAACACCGATCAACATATTTTCACCTTTTTCTGACATTTTATGGACAAAAAAACTCACTGATTGCCTAAGAAATAGATATTTTGTAACCTGTATTCGTCTTGACTTGTAATTTACAAGAAATGAAATATTTGCTTAAGGTAATTTACAAAAAGTGACAGCACTGACAAATAAAGCCACAACAATCAATCTATTAATCTATTAGTTGTCGACTATAACATAAATTGCTGACTAATTTGATTATTGATTGACCGCATAACGTATTTCTTTAAGAAAACAATGATTACAGTGTCTTAAATGTGAATACTTTCTGGTGTCTTTACTCCTCTATGACAGTAAACTGAACAGTTTTGGGTTGTGGACAAAACAAGACATCATCTTGGGTTTTGGGAAACACTGATCAACATATTACATACATTTTATAGACCAAATAACTTATCAATTAACAGAAGAATAGATATATTGGAACCTGGTATTCGTGTTGGCCTGTAATCTAAAATAAAATTAAAGATTTGTTGGTTTCTTTACTACTCTATGACAATTAACTGAACAGTTTTGGGTTTTGGACAAAACAAGACATCATCTTGGGTTTTGGAAAACAACGATAAACATTTTTAACCTTTTTCTGATGTTTTATAGACCAAATAACTAATCAATTAACTGATAAAATAATCAACAAATTTATTTTTTAACTTTAAAATGTCACATTTAAAAAAAATAAAAAAAACACACATTTGGGGGATCTTTATCTAAAATGTTTAAATTTAAATTCATTTTTTTATTTAAATGTAGATTTTTATGGGATACATCATTAGTTTGTTTTTTGTTTTTCTTTTTTACTCTAAAATGTTGATATGAATACAAGTATTGACATAATCAAAGCTGCTAAGAGCAAAAATCAATTCAAAATATGTATTTTTTAAGTAATATATTGTATTTTCTCTGTCTACATAATTCTCCTTTTACATAAGCATTCTTACTCAACACCAGTTGCACTCAAAGCGCTTTAACTTTGAAAACTGTAACCGGAAGTGCTGTATTTTAACATGTCAGCTTTACTTTGGTCCAAACCGCTGCAGCAACTCATCAAATCCAACACATCACAATCCTTTAAATGGCCGCAGCATATAAAATAAATGCTAGCGATTAAATATTATTGCCTCACTAACGTCTGTATATGAAAATCAATGAATATTACTGCAGGTGTTTTTTGCTGCGTTCATTAATAAATTCGCGATATTATTGGAGAGGAGGGCAGTTCGCGCAGCTCTGGTCCGGTCTGGAGTGGCCGTGTTCCGGTGTCAGTGCGGTGGTGGCTGCGGGTGTCCGCAGAGCACCCCGGTGTGTCTTACCCGTCATGATGTGATGAGGAGAGTCAAGCAGGGGCCCGGGGGTCGCGATGGGGCGGACGGAGGGTTTGCACTGCGAAGGGCAGAGTCTCAGCAGCTGGGAGCAGTCTAACACAGGAATTAAGCCCCACATTTTCCGGGTCATGTGACCAGTGACAGCTGACACGCCCCCCCCCCCTGCGTGGAGAAATGATGCTGCGGTGTAATGCCACAATTATGAACTACTCTATTACAAGTGAAAGTGATGCATTTACACTGTGAAACTACTAACATCAAATAATATTTAAAGTACCAGAGGGAAAATACTTATGAAGCAGAACAACACTGGATTAAAATTACTGATGCATCAATGTTTATTCAATTAAATTAAATTTTATTAAAAAAGCCCAATATCTTTACATTCTCAAGGATCTTTGAAAGAAAGGAAAGATTAAATATGGGTCTATAGTTGGCTAACACCTTAGCAGAGGTTTAATTACAGCTACCTTAAAGGACTGTGGTACATAACCTGTTAATACAGACATATTAATCATGTCTAATACAGACGTGTTAACTAAAGGTTGGGATGGAGTCTACGAGACAATGTTTATGCATCACTTATGTTGGTAAATGTGGGGTGAATTTTAATTTCTTTATGTACTGATGGTTAATGCATTATAATTTATTTGTTGATCGTAATCTAAATCTGCGAAGTAACTAGTGGGCCCAAGCATTGGCGTAGATTTCAGGGGGATCCCTCAATATTCCTCCTCAATATTTAGCATGGGTGCATTTGTCATCCACAATAAAAACATGAAGGTAGCAGAAGACTTTTATTTTGATGAAATTAAAGGCATTTCCACCTTATATTGATGCATAATATTCACAAGAGTGCTGTAAATTAAGTGTCTGTCACTCAAAACTTCTGCCCCAAAACCCCCATTTCACGTGTCCTTGAATGAAACGACATCCTTGGGCTCAACTATATCTGTAATGTAGTGGAGTAAAATGGTTGTGAATGTTGCATAAAATTGAAGCTTTTGGTTTAGTAGAATTTTGAGTGCAGGACTTTTACTTGTAAGCGCAAGTAAAGGATTTTAAGACTTCTTCTACCACTGGATGCAAGGTTAATGTGTCCCTGTTCTGACCCAACCTATCAAGCACAGGTGCAGATTTCAGGGGGGATGCAGGGGACACGCCCCCCTCAGTTTTTAGAACATGTGCATTTGTCTCCACCAGTAAAAACAAAGTGAAAGATGACTTTTATTTTGACAAAGTAAGGTGCAGAAAAGGCACAAATTGGTGCATAAAAACTCAGTAACAACTCAGGACAGTAAGTGTCAGATGTCCAAAATCTCCTGGAGGAAGCACCAAACCTCCTGTTACATATGTGTCCCCCAAGATACTGAAACATAACCTACACCCTGTGAATTATAGCTGTAATGTAATGGAGTAAAATGGTCAGTATTTCCCTCTGAAATATGGTGAGTTATAGCAACATGTGGTATAAAATTGAAGCTTATGTACTTTTGATTAAGTAGAATTCTGAGTGCAGGATTTTTACTTGAATATTATTATTTTAACAAGTAAAGGATCTGAAGACTTCTTCTACTACTGGATACAAGGAAGTGAGTGTTTCCCTGTTCTGACCCAGCATATTAGGCACAGGTGTAGATTTGGGGTGGGGGGATGCCGGGGACACGTCTCCTTAAATATGTAGAACATGTGCATTTGTCTCCACCGATAAAAACATAAGTGAAAGAGGACTTTTATTTTGATGAAATGAAGACATTTCCACCGTAACTGATGCAGAGTAGGTGAAAATTGGTGCATAAAAATGTACCAGAATGCATCAAATTCAGTGTTTGATGGCTAAAATCTTCTAGCAGGGGGACTCCCAAAACCCACCGTTTCATATGACCTTCACTACACCGCTCTACTTTTTTGAGAACAACAGTGAAGGCTTCTTTACTTCATCACCTTGAGTCAACACTGCCTCTAAGTGGTCATGACTTCACACTACAACTGAGCGAAGCATCAAACGCTCAACCGACCAACATGCAGGTGGGTGTGGGGATGGTCACACCCAGCTATTATTACATCAAATAAACATAGATGAAAGACTAAGTGTGTAATGCAATAATGTTTTGTCTCTCTACTCAAAGGGCAGGTCCAGTGTATTTCATGTCAGCCTGAATATAAAACTCACATGCCCTCATGTACACTGACAGAGTTATGAGTCATGGTCATGCTCACTTGATTTTTGCTGAACCTTAAAATGCTTTTCAAGTCCTGCGTGAAGGACTCTTAAACTGAAGTTGCATCAGGAAGAGTGCAATCTTTTTACAGCCAGAGGGAGGAATTGCAATGTGTTGTATTTTAAAGTCTATGTGTGTGCTGTATGTCTACGTGGTTTTCGCTCTATCCACCTTCCTGCGCACGTGCTCTGAGTTGCCAGTGAATAATGCAGGAGACTTATCAGAAAGTCTTTACACTTCTACACCAACAACTGATCCTGGCTCAGGGTCCACAGCCCAAAACTGTGGCCCGTACGTCAACGCCTGGAGGTGGAGCGCTTGCCTGAGACCGGCCATCAGGAGGAGAGAGTAACCGGAGAGCACCTCGGAGTCACAGAGTGAAACTGGGCTGATCAGGTGTCTAAGGAAAAGAGACCTGAAGGGGAGATAGAAAGATGGAGTCCTTTATCTGTGTGGGGCAACATTCAGATTCTGTGTAACTTTGCACTGAATAGTTAGAATAATGTCTTTAGTGTGTTTGTCTGAGCCAAGAGGGAAAGATTTTGCACAGTCTTGTGTCATGGTGTTGGCTGATTATGAGACTGTGTGTGTGTTTTGGGTGGTGGTGAGGTGAGAGGAGGAGCTGCCAGGTAAAAAGAGAGAGAAGGAGGTGAGGCCAAGACAAGAAAGGAGTAAGGAAAGAGCAGAAAGTGTTGATAGAAAAGGCTGCTTTTCTACTTTGGACTGGCCCTCTCCGGACTTTGAGCTCTTCAGCCTGCACGGGACTGAATGTAAGCTCCTTACTTCTATTGTTTCCTTATATTACAGTTCAACTATTCCCAACACAGGTGAACTTGGCTGCACAATGTAAACTCTGATATACTGTAGCTGCAGAAACATGTTGCTTGGAGGTTTCCTAACTTGAACATACAGGTAAAATGTCACTGAGTGTCACAAGAAAAAAGAAATAATCTGCTGCAGCTTTAAAGCATTGATGTTTGTTGGAACAAAGAGTGACTGTTGCAGTAAAGCAGCAGTGGTGCTTTTAAGTGGGGCAGTTTAATCTAAGTGATGCAGTTGGCTCTATGCCTCAGGTTACAGCGCATTGTGTGGTAGTGAAGCAGGCTGTGCAGGCAAACACAGGCCTCATGTTTTAAACATGTTCGACAGAAATGCAAACTGTGTGCACGGGCTGTTAAAAAACGTGACAAAAAAACATTACACTAGAATCAACCCTTCTTTCTAAATGGTAATACTTTTTCTACAAAATTCAGGAAGTGGCATGATTGGTTTTTTTTTTCATTATTATTTATGTATACATTTCTATCCGTGAGATGGATTGGTTTGAAAGGATCATGGTGAAGAGAGAGCTGAACCTGAAGGTGAAGCTTTCGAGTTACTGGTCCATCTACGTCCCGCCCTCACCTATGGTCTGTAGGGTGGCTGGGCTCAGCCTTAGAGATAGGGTAAGGAGCTCGGACATCCGGAGGGAGCTTGGAGTAGAGCCGCTGCTCCTACATGTCGAAAGGGGTCAGTTGAGGTGGTTCAGGCATCTGATCAGGATGCCTCCTGGGTGCCTCCTGTTAGAGGTATTCCAGGCACGTCCCACTGGTAGGAGGCCCCGGGGTAGACCCAGAACACGCTGGAGGGATTACATATCTCATCTGGCCTGGGAACGCCTTGGGGTCCCTCAGGAGGAGCTGGAAAGTGTTGCTAGGGAGAGGGACGTCTGGGGTGCTTTGCTTGGCCTGCTGCCCCCGCGACCTGGCCCTGGATAAGCAGATGAAAATGGATGGATCGTTGGAAGTCTGATCATGCGACAAGAGGTTATGTGCACAGTAGCGTGCGCTGGGGCCAATCGTATCTACCTTACGCCACTAGTTGGCATTGTATGTTTCTGCAAACCATGCCTAGGTTACATTTGTACATTCTTTATGTATGTTATCAAAGTTTCTCAAGTGACCTAGCTCTGATTACACGTATTTGAGCTGACATTGTCATCGGGAAGTGTAGGGATTGGTGGATGGCGGGACACCCAGGTGAGATGGCTGCCTAGCTGCAGACCCTAGACCAACACCAGTTGTTTTTAGTGACCTGTCGCTGCATTTCCAGCAGCAATTGTGCCACCAAACACAGATAATTTGAGCCAAAACATGATCTATTCCTCACCATGACCAAGGGGTTTTTGTGCCTAAACATAACCACACGATAACCACTACATTGCTGAAACATAAAGAATTGTAAAGTTTCAAGATATCTGTTTGCAGAAGCGTATCATGCCAACATTTTTTCTAGTGATGGGTTGTAGTCCAATAAAGTTAGGACTATGGCAATGATCAGGGCTTAAGATAAGGTCAGACTTCATAAAAGAGCAAATTGTTCGCAGTTTAAGAGTCTACCTGTTAGGTTTAGCTCAGGGCAAAAATGGCCCAACTAGCACCTGCTGAATTTGTCACACACATTTTTTAATTGCCCTCATCAGTGTTTTTATTTTATGTATTCAGTTTCTTGTGTTTTATTTGTATCTTCTGTTCCAACCTGTTGTCCCCACAATGTGTGTTTTAGTGTTTAACTTGTGATGCTTTCTCTTTTATAGGATGTACTGTAAGTCACATATGCACTTTAACTGCAAATCAATTGCCCGGAAGACACAGACAGACCTCTTTAAGCAGACAGTAACGTGATGACACAGCTGAGGTGTTAAATGTTAACTGTCAGCCTACGCCTGTCCCAGGGTCCAGGCAGGCCAAAGGTCCACTCTGTGCCTCTCCTGAGTGACTCCTCCTTGGAGAGATAACCAGCTCTCCAGCCTCTCCGGGATCCAGCTTCCGCTCTGCCCCGGTCTGAAGCCTCGCAGATCTCCGGAAGACTCGACTCCTGTGGCCAGTCCAGAGGGATCTGCAGCGAGGGGCTTGTAGCTTGACAGGAC